GAAAGAATTAAAAAGTGACTAGGTAAAAAATTAAACCCTACAATTGTCTTGAGATTTTAAGAAAATGCTAAAAATATCAAAAGACCTTAAAATATAACCTGGAAAATTCTGGGGTATTTTTTTATACCTAAACATTGAGTTTAATTAGATGTGTTACATTGAAAATCGTTATAAACTACCATGGGGCCATATTTTTGTGAACAAGTACTCCCATGCTGGAGTTCTGCTTTCAATAATATCAATGACAGTTCTTCGTACTCCCATGCTGGAGTTATACTTTCGATAATATTAATGACAGTTCGTCGTACTCCCGTGCTGGAGTTCTACTTTCAATAATATTAATGGCAGTTCTTCGTACTCCCGTGCTGGAGTTCTGCTTTCAATAATATTAATGACAGTTCTTCGTACTCCCGTGCTGGAGTTCTACTTTCGATAATATTAATGACAGTTCTTCGTACTCCCGTGCTGGAGTTCTACTTTCGATAATATTAATGACAGTTCTTCGTACTCCCATGCTGGAGTTCTTCTTTCGATAATATTAATGACAGTTCTTCGTACTCCCATGCTGAAGTTCTACTTTCACATAATATACATAATAACAATACATCCACATGCTAGTTTCAAGGTTTCTTTTAATATTATAGCATTGTTATTTTATTATAACAGTGGAAGTCTTTCTGTGACATGTGCATTACATCTTTTTACTTTATTATAGATAAGAGTGACTTGTTAAGTGCATGAAGATTTAGATCTCTGTGGTTACTTGTTTATGTTAGTAGATTACTTGTGTACACTTCAGAGAACAAATGGTACTTGTTTATGTCAGTAGAAAACTTTTGTACCTTCAGAGAATAAATGATACTTGTTTGTCAGTAGAAAACTTGTGTACCTTCAGAGAATAAATAATACTTGTTTATATCAGTAGATAGCTTGTGTACCTTTGGAGAATAAATGATACTTGTTTATATCAGTAGAAAACTTGTGTACCTTTGGAGAATAAATGATACTTGTTTATGTTACTAGAAAACTTGTGAACCTTCAAAGAATAAATAATACTTGTTTATGTCAGTAGAAAGCTTGTGTACCTTCAGAGAATAAATGATACTTGTTTATATCAGTAGATTACGTGTGTACCTTCAGAGAATAAATGATACTTGTTTATGTCAGTAGATTACGTGTGTACCTTCAGAGAATAAATGATACTTGTTTATGTCAGTAGATTACTTGTGTACCTTCAGAGAACAAATGGTACTTGTTTATGTCATTAGCTTACTTGTGTACCTTCAGAGAATAAATGATACTTGTTTATGTCAGTAGATTACTTGTGTACCTTCAGAGAACAAATGGTACTTGTTTATGTCATTAGCTTACTTGTGTACCTTCAGAGAACAAATGGTACTTGTTTATGTCATTAGATTACTTGTGTACCTTCAGAGAACAAATGGTACTTGTTTGTGTCAGTAGAAAACTTGTGAACCTTCAAAGAATAAATGATACTTGTTTATGTCAGTAGATAACTTATGTACCTTCAGAGAACAAATAATACTTGTTTATGTCAGTAGATAGCTTGTTTACCTTCGGAGAATAAATGATACTTGTTTATGTCAGTAGATAACTTATGTACCTTCAGAGAACAAATGGTACTTGTTTATGTTAGTAGAAAACTTGTGTACCTTCCGAGAATAAATAATACTTGTTTATGTCAGTAGATAGCTTGTGTACCTTCGGGAATAAATGATACTTGTTTATGTCTGTAGATAACTTATGTACCTTCAGAGAATAAATGATACTTGTTTATGTCAGTAGATTACTTGTGTACCTTCAGAGAATAAATGATACTTGTTTATGTCAGTAGATTACTTGTGTACCTTCAGAGAATAAATGATACTTGTTTATGTCAGTAGATTACTTGTGTACCTTCAAATAATAAATGATACTTGTTTGTGTCAGTGGATAACTTGTGTACCTAAAGAGAATAAATAATAAGTGTAAATGTGAATAAGTTTCTCAAGCTTGTGCGTGTCATTAGTTCAGTTTGGCTGGAGTGAAGTAGAAACAGTATATGTGTGTGTGTAAACACTTATTTATTTCTGTCACTAACACAGGAATGGTCCATTGTATTGCAGAAGGCATAGTGATTATAATTACAAATTTACCATGCCCATCTAATGAAGTGTGACAGGTTTTTGTAATATCTACAAGTCTGTTGTATACGAGAAATCACTTATTTTACTCAATGAATTGCCAACATAAGTTTGATTCGGGCTCTCATTGGAAGATGAAGTTCATATGAAGAATAAAAATACTTTTGTATCATACAGTTTTGAATGGGACTCTGTGAAAGGTCATGATAAGCACTTTAACCTCATGGGGTTAATCAGGATCAGTTCATAATGGAACTTGTTAAGAAGTTATATTACTAAATACGAAAGGTAGAGTGAAGGTGCTGCTATTTGATATAAAATCTAAAGTTTTTGATTTATGAAAGTTCTTTTATATTTCATAGTAGCTAGTAGTCCAGAAAGTGGGCTAAATTTATTTACATTATGGACTGTTTGAAAAGACTTTAAGTCATGCTCTCAAGAGTGATGTTCATTTTTAATCTTCTGTACAAAAAGATGTGTTAAATTTCTCACTTTGAAACATTTTTTATGCGACAGGGTTTTCCTGCCGAATTTGCAATGTATCTGAACTACTGTCGAGGGCTGCGGTTTGAAGAAGCTCCTGATTACATGTATTTACGCCAGCTTTTCCGTATCCTATTCCGGACACTTAATCATCAGTATGACTATACTTTTGACTGGACCATGTTAAAGCAGAAGGCTGCAGCTTCTGCAGCTGCTATTGGTGGTACATCTCAAGCTGTGGCCACTTCAGGTAAGAAGGTTACATAGATAATGTTAAAGATGAGCTAGTATAAAGAAAATGTTATCAGGATATTTCATCATAGACCCATTGTGATTCAATAACTAATTGTGAAAAACATATTTAGTATTTTATAATGTCCTCTAATAGTACAACACCTAATTACACATAAATGTAAAATTTACAGCAAAGTTAAGAAATTATTTGACATTAAGTCAGGTAAAAAAAAAAAGTTGATATTGTAGCGATTGTAGTAAAATTGTATTAAAATGTATTCAATCTTTAAATTCTTTATTATGAAAACAAGCCCTAGTCAATGGTATGTTATTCGTTGCTTCACAGTATGTTAGTATAAATTTCGCGTCTCTTTGTTCCTAGGCCACAGAATTTTAAACTTTTTTTTTTTACAATGGTGTTTGTTCCAATTCATTAATAGGAATTATATGAGTACTACAGAACTGGTCTCTATATGGTCATGACCACAACACGGGAAATGAAACTCACTTTTGAAAAAGACAATGACACTATTATCACATAATGATTTATGAACATTTACTCAAGAGAACAGTTATGAAGACTAGAATGCCATTGACATTGACTTATGAATGTTTAAAATAAATTTTGAAGAATAGTTGAAAGTTTGAAAGAGTTATTCGAGATTAGTGCTTACTGTTGAAATAAAAAATAAAATTTTATCCAATAATTAGCATTACTTTAAACTCCAGGAAAAGAAGGGTCCTTCGTGCTTACTTCTGTTATATTTGAAGTTTGTTTTTCTAATTAACATTACTTTAAACTCCAGGAAAAG